AAAAAGGCAATCACACCACCCCCTAGTGACTGCTTTTAGAATCATTCCATCAGACAATGCCTTTTTAAAAGTATTTACAGGTAGTACAGGTATGCAGTATTCAGAATGCTAACATCTTGCTTCTGACAATTTGTAATCCCCAGACTGAACATCTTTTTGTATTCCTCACATGATCTAGCCTTTGGTTACAATACCAGCAGGTTTTGTCTCATAGAACAATTTAATGTGGACAAATCAAATGAGGTATTGTTTTTCAATTAGCTTATTCAAAGATTATCTGGAATGAAGATGTAAATATTCTTCAGCTTTCTTTATTTGCCCACTTCTGGTATAACTGAACTAATGATTTACAAACTTGACTGAAGTCATGCTTAATACCAAACAGGCTAGATGGTCTGAATGGTCTCCTCTGGTTGACAATCTTTCTTAAGTTCATTTAAATGTGACTTTAAGGATAATTTATAAAACCTACAGCATTATGGGTCTTCCGGCCTAGAATAAACCATCCCAGACCTAGTCAGCACCACTTTTTTTCCCTAAGAACCTAGTGACTGGAAGGCTTCCATTTCCATACAACTGCATTTCAAAATCAGTTCAATTTCCACACTCCTCCTTGGCAATTCTGGGCATTTGTTGCGAGCTTACCTTGAAGAAATGTCTCACTTTTAAGCCAAAGAAGGACCAAGAGACGTTGTGCTTTAATCAGAATTTTACTTTTGTTCTGACTTCAATCTCCGAATCATGTCTCAAGTGACAGTGGGTTATGAATCATCCATGTCATTCTACAACTAAATTATTTACCTCTGTTTTCTCATCATCTAATGAGTTATAATTCTTACCAGGTTTATGCCTACTCTTTCAAAATACCAAATTGCTGTCATTCAGAGTTTTATGCTCATATCTTAAATAGCAGATAATATCACAGTTTGAGGAGTTGAAAAGTGTTTAAGGATTTGTCAGGATTAGAACCACAAAAAGTGAAATTAAGTTAGATGTTCTGATGCATTTTTAGAATCTCACTATTACTTTCTGTTTGCCACATTCAGGTTATGACTTAATGAGAGCATAGGTACTTTAGAGTGCTAGATAAACTTATCTCAAGTGTGTGACTATAAAACTAAGTATGAACCAAATAACCATCTTTGTAGAACTGTAGAAATATGTTATTACTGTACATATTGGTGGTCACAGACACTCATCCAGAGAGAGAGAGTGATAGAGAAAGAGAGGGAGAGAGAGCTCTGCACCTGTGAAATTTTGAGACACAAAAGGAATGTACTGTAGGTGGGATGGTTTATATAAAGTTATGAAAATGGAAACAAAACTACACATCACGAAATCACAGTAAGTAATCAGTATGAAATATCACAAGCTAATGAAATTAAAACATTACAAACTTGGCATAAGAATGACCTTATTTAACACAACCTTAGAAGTGTTGTGGCACAGGCCTGTTGAGCCTCTAAACAAACAGATGTGGACACCTGCGCACTGTACCTAGCTGAAGGGTGGCTGGTCACAGTCATCTCCTGTTGATGACACTGTTGACTTGGTCTCACAAATGTTCTACATGACTCAAGTTTTTCATGACACCATGTCATTATAAGCCTTTCACTGTGTGGTCTTGCATTGTCTGGCAGGAATATTCTTAAAATGGATTACGAGAATTTACAGAGGAGAGAGCCAGCAGCCATATCACCTGTAACTCACAACTGGCAACCCACTGAAGCTAAGCAGGTGTGTGTCTGGATAGTACCTGGATGAGAGACCTCCTGGGAAAAACTAAGAGAGATATTAGGGGCATCTCACCTTGCAGCCTGTGTGGATCCTAAGGCACTGTCCTTTGGATGGGATGTAAAACTGTGGTCCTGACTAACAGTGGTCATTAAAAATCCCAGTGTGTTTCTCTGCAACAGTAGGGGAGTTACCCTGGTGTCCTGACAAAATTTCCTGTTGGCCTTTACCAATCATGCCCTTCTAATAATCTCCATCTATGAATTGGCTTCATCATTCTGTTCTTCTCCCCACTGAAAGCACACTATATCTACCATTGCATCATTAAGGTGGATGCTGTACATTTGTGGAGTACAGCATGGGTTGTACCCTAACCCTAACCTAACCCACCAATTGGTGGAGGTGGGGAAGTAGTTCTCTTTACCTGTAAAGTGTTTTGAGAGTAGTGTCCAGAAAAAGTGCTGTATAAGTGTAAGAAATAATAATAATACTAATTAGTGTGAAATTTTGTTTAGGTGTGTTCTGGCTTCCACACCTTAATTTGTTCCCTGAATTAGAGATTTTGTGCAAGAACTAAGAGGACCCAGTGTACACCTTAGTCCCACGGTGAGCAGTTAATTCTGTTGTAATCCATCATCACAGGGGATTTAGTACAGCACATTGTAAATTGGAATCTTCGAAAATTGACATATAAGGTTTCTACTTCTGTTCACAGCTTCTCAGCTCAATTATAGCACTTTCAGATTATGGCAGTATCAGTAGGAAAGGACCATGAACAGATAGATTTTTCATGAAAGACTATATCAAATGTGTAGAATTTATTACAATGATTTTTTTCTGTTTCAACAAAGCAACTGTACGTGTGAGTTGCCTGTGTACCATTTAAAACTAATAACTTAATACATAATTGTTCAAACCTGATCATGGATAATTCCCATAAAGACACATCACACCTTATTATGTACTAATTTATTCATGGTGTACTTATACAGAAAGCTTGTTCAGTCCTGAAAACTCATGAGAGCTTTTCATATCCCAGCAAGAGCTGGCACGACATAGTTCAGTCTTTGTGGTTTAAATACTAAATGACATTAACAGCACAGAGGTTTTAACATTATCTTAAAACTCACAATTATCTAAGCACCATTTTCTCCTTAACCTGAAATAAAGTAATGTTTTCAAGTAATAATAGACAAATGTATAACACAGGCATTTGGAGCAGATTCTAATTGACTTCTGCTGATATGGACAGTTTATCTGGTTCTTGCTGATAAGAAAAGGTCTCATCCTCACTTGCATTCCTACCACTTATCATCAGTCTCTAGGGATGGGAAAAAGTTCAATCAATGTAATTCCTGTTCTGTGCAAATGTGTCTGATTGTTCTAGCATATTGATTGCTTCTCAGTAAGACCACTGTGTCCTACCCTACTTCTTACAAAACTGAGTCTGTTTTATCAATCCTGTTTCAAACCAAGATATTTGAGGATTTGTATTCTTCACATGGAAGGTGACTTAAATAAACTGCTTATTTGCTAAATGACTTGTAAGTTTGTGAGACGGAGTTATACTGTATATCTCTGCTCCAGTTTCCCTTTTTAACCTTGATATCAATCATCTGTTGGTGTTTATGCTAAGTGACTTCTAAATTGCTTAAGAATCTCCCATCTCTTCATTGTAAGCACTTTAACAGAAGTTTCTAAAATGTTTCTAGCTTTCAGATTTCCAACAGGATTAAACAAAGAGCAAAGACACAGCACACACTTATTCCTGAGACTCCACCTACAGTGTGTCTCAAAGTAAACATTTTTGTTCATTACAAATATACAGTAGCTTCTTTCATCTGGACTTTTCTATTACATAATGTGCTTCCTATTCTCAGTCATTGCTCTTTATGTCTCTTTTGTTGTATCTATCTGATGGCCACTTGCGTGCTATCCAACGACTGCAATGAAACGGATTCTAATATGACTTATTGAGTGAACATCTAGGATTTCTATTTGCAATGCAAATTAGCACTGCTCAAAGCAAATAAGTCAGCTTGCACAGTCTTATCTTTCCTTTTGAGTCTTACATTTTTTTGTATGGAAAATAGCAATGAAAACAGATGCAGCCAGTTAAGAATACATTAACCACTGAAGGTGACACCAATTTGGCATGAATTGCTTATTCTCTGTAACTTTTTTCATTTACAATAATTTTAAGTGTGGAGAATATAAAGTAATAATAAGTAAAATGATTTGAAAAAAGTATAGTACGTTCAATTCTCTACCTCGAGTTGGAACTGTCTTATCTTGTTACTAACGCCTTTAGGTTTAAGAATATAAACCATTAAAGGATACTACATGCTGAGCTTCATTCAATAACCATACAAATACAGTACTTTAATCCTGTTGGGGCGAATTAATAAAAGCATAACACCCCCCTCCTGTGGCAGAGGGGCAGGTTCGAAGCACCTGTGAACTTGTAATGTTTACAGAGGATGACTTTAACTCTTAATTTTTTGTTCTAATTTGTGAACTGTGCAAAAACAAATTTATGGCAGTGCATGTTTCAGGGGAAGTCTGCTCGTAGGCCCCATCTTTCCCCCGATGCTATGAGGGTCACAGTGATTATTATATTATATATATTATATTATAAAGAAAACAATCACAATTAACATTTAATTAAGTAAAGTAAATTAACATTACAATTCATTATAGAAATCCCATATATTCATGTTATATCCACCCATCCATTTTCTAACTGCTTCATCCAATTCGGGGTGGCAGGGAAGACAGTGTTTATCCCTACAAGCAACGGGCAGAAGGCATGACAAGGCATGACGCCAGTACAGCACAGGGCACACAGACACAAATACAGACATGCTCAAACTCACACCAGGGCCAGTTCTCCCAGAAGCTAATTCATATACCAATATGTCTTTGGTTTGTGGTAGGAAAACTGAGCACCTGGAGGATACACACAAACATGGGGAGAACATAAAAACTCCATGCAGGCAGCACCCAAGGTCTGGAATTGAACCCACGGCCCCAGTGTAGACATGTTAATTAATGTGCCACATGCCACCTGTTGAATGTGACTGTACATGTGAAAATAAACTGATTTTAACTTTTTGGGATACCAGGAAGATCCTTTCAAAAAGCACCTTTAAATCCACTGAAAGCTCTTCCAGAGCTTTTCAAAACCCTTTTCAGACCAGTATGCGTTCATACATTTCTAGGTACCATTTTCAATAAAGTCCCCCCAAAACGAAAGCCAACAAAACTTTTCCAGAAATACTTTATGCTCTCTTTTGGCTGAACATAAAGTGTTTATTTATTCATATTTTCAATAAAAATACAGAAACAAATAACAATATGATTTGATTAAGCTTTTCAGTCATATCTGTAAAAAAATAGTCTGAATCTTAACATTATCCAGTCTATTATGATTAGCTAAAAAATAATACACCTGATCGCTGAGTGGGAATGTTGACTTTGTGTTAGATCAAACATGACCCAGTTTTATTGGAGGACCCAGAAACCTGATCTGTGATGACCCTCCGATCAGCACATTCCCTCAGAAAACAACAGTCCTGGTGACACAACTGCACCATTGAAACAAACAGTGAAAAAGAATTAACATTGTTATAAATAATATAACACAGAAGTTACATATCAATACAGAATTATAAATTAAAAGCAAAATCAAGACAATTGGAAGTGAGCATACTATATTTCCCATAACACTTTACATCAGTTGTTTTACTTTTTTTATTTTATTTTATTTTCATTTTTGTACTGTATATACCAGTATTTTTAAAGTAGATAGGTTGCAAAAAACTTCCATTGTAGAAAAAGTAACAGTGTTTTTTGGGGCAGTGTGGTATTTCATACTTAATTTTGAAGTCTCAGTTTTCTGACATTCTTTGTCTTTAGAGGTAACATTGAACTCCCATCCTATTACTGAAATACTACTTCTATTCTTCTCTACTAGATATACAGATAAATCCCATATTTAAAAAACACAAATATGAGAAAAATAAAGGACTATGGTGAAAAATGAAGATAAAAAAGCCAAAACATACAAAAAAGCCTTTAAATCAGAAGACAATGTGAAACTTTAGGCAAGAACTAGATTTGTCTAATTTTTCAAACATTTTGAACATTTTTTGTATCTTGTGAACCCCCCTTTTGATTACCTTAATATCTTATGGTGCTGACCATAAAATGCTTTTTTAGAAATCATTAATAAAAATCACAATGTTAATTAAATCATTAAATCTAGAAGGTAACTATTTTTAGCAATTGAGATTAAAACTGATTCATGTGCAGGAGTTGGCATCTTATCCTCAGTAAACTAAATGAAAAATGTGTTTGTTTTGGGATACTTTTCTGCCTATATATAAACTGCAGATAATCTATAGACATTATTGATGACAGCTTTTTTAGGATTTACATGAGAAACAATGGAGCAAAAAAGAACACTCTTATTGGGATAAACACATTAACACAAGTGAACAACTGCAGGCAACATTAGACTTTAAATCAGGCTTTAAAGTGAAAGTGGTGCAGTGATTTCACACGTATTAAATTCATTAACCAATCATCTTCTCTGTGTGCTTTGCAGTTACAATATTGGGCTAAACAAACCTTCACAATGTTCTTTAAAGGCATGTATACCTTTCAAAAAAGAGAAAACAGACAAAGCACTGTTAAGGCTGTCACTTACTGTTTTCCTTTCTCTCTCCCTCCCACCCCACCCCACATCCTTTGTTTGTGTTCCAGGAGTCCTCCGAGCTGCAGGGGGCGGTGCTGCTCTCCAGGAATTCTTTTCTAGGGCAGGGCAGGGTCAGAAATGGCATAGTCAGGGTTGCAGGTGAAAGATACAGTGATGGCGAATCGTGTGCCCCAGCTGACCTTCTCCACACGGTGGAGATTCTCTGAGCCAGAGGTGAAGAACGATACACGTCCTGGAGTGCAGAAAGAGAAAAAAAAAGATCAACTTAAGAGTGACAGGGGGAAAAAAAAGAGGTGTAACAAGTCAGGTTTAAACATTCCTTCATCAGATATGGTAAGTTGTATATTGACTGGGCTGACTGCACTTACTATTAAGTTGCTTTGGTATGCCACAGAAAAAACATACACCCGACCAAAGGGAAACATAAATATGACAAAGCTCAACGATATCTTTTAAAACAGTGTGAAAAAGAAGGATAAACACCACAAAAAGTGATGTCTACAAAGGAGATAAAGTGTCAGTAAAAAATAAAAATAAAGTGGGATAGAGTAAGAGATACATGAAAAAAGCAACAGACCATAATTTTTGTGTGACAGTGAGTTATTGGGGGCAATATTTTCCAATTGAATTATTGAGCAACGGCTAGCAATACGGAGTCAATATCTCTTTTTATTTATAATCTCTCCAAAGACTTAAGAATTAGAACTAAGCCACTCTAACTAAAAATCATTGAAATTGCTGAAGAGAACAATTGAACTGCTGAAGCTTTTAATATGAATTTGTTAAATTTTCTTTGTAATCAACATTTTTGTGTGTATACCAAAATGAATATTGTGTTGACAAAGATGAATAATGTCTCACAAAAAGACAACAGCTTTACAAATGTAAGTGGACATTTGGAAATTTAGTGAGGTGAACTTTAAAGCTCAAAAACCTGAAAAGATTGTGACCATATAAATATGCAAAAAATTCTCCATATTTTTATGAACCACATTTCTTACTCTTAAAAGCTAAAAAACATGGTTGATAGCTGGTATGTACTGGCACATTGAGATGGTCTAGGCCTGGATAAGAAAGATTGAACTAAAAGAAAATCTAACATTTCAGATGGTTCCATAAGTGCAGTGTAACCTGTTCTATTTATTCTAGTGCTGTGTTTCAGATATCCTGTACCAGAATAAGATGTATTGAAGCACAGCATAATGCCTATTGTTAGCTGAAAACAACAAAACGTGGTCTATTAAAAAAACTAATCCAATGCAGCAGCTATGCTTAAAAAGCGAGTGGGTTGATGATCAAAACTGATAAACTGCTTTTTGAATGTTCAGTCCATAGGTTCATTGCAGTTCAGCATAACCACTTAAACAACCACTATCTGACAAAAACTACTGAATTACAACAAGCCAGCTGTTTTGAACAGAATAACATCTTCATTTATTCCTCAGTTAGATTACATTTGTTATCTTAATGAAAGCATTACACTCAGAGCCTTAATTACCTCAATTACCATTAGAAACATCAAAGTATATTTTCTGCATTTTCACAACCTGGAGTTTCAGACAGGCTGTCTCTAATAATAATACCCCCAGCAGGAGGTATGAAGAAAAACATCCCTCAGTCATTACTTGAACTGATACGTTACAGTGCAATTTAACTCAACAAACAGACAGGTACATGCTCTACAATGGAATCCATTTGGTCTCAAGGCCAATTTGAGAGGCTTCACATTTTTGATTTACGTAGGCATTCCAAAATATATTAAACAGCTCTGATAAAAATTGAAATGCATGGAGGAATTACTTCCATTTTAGTGTTAATGCACCATGTTGGCCTGCAATGAATTTTACATCTTATTTTAATGTTTTGTTCTTAAAATATTACTTAGATTGATAGCTGGTACTTGATAAGATGGGCTACTTTTATTATGAAATAAAAGGAGCCCGTGAGTATCTTAGATCCCAGTGATTTAAGAACTGAGAGACTTTCATGTGACTTAAATTGCATTCATATTGCAGCTGGCATGATGCACAACAGGAATACTATGAGGTTCCGGACAATCTTTAGTACATCCTCTCCATTTCTTACAAGGCTGATACTCTTAAGCTTTTATAATTACATGTGGAAAACATGGTGCATTTTGGAGAAGAATGCTTTTAAAATCATCCTTAGTAAAGTAACTTTTTCCTTGTTTCTGTGAGGCTACATCATACAGTATTTACATTTTACAGATAGTATATAATTCTTCGTTTTAATATAAGAAAAAAAACACCTGTTTTTAAAACCTTTATTTTTAAATAAAGTACCCTTTTCTGAGCTTCTTTTAAATAGAGACAATAGATGGGCTTTTTCATTAAGTGCCTTAAGAAGTATTTTGTACGTTGTCCTTGTTGTCTTTGTCACTGAGAATTAACCATTTGGTAACTACAGTACAGTACATAGTTGTATATCTAATTGCTCAGGGGTATAAACAGATGTATAAATAGATATATCCCTGCCAATATGAAGTCTACTAAGCTTTTCCGTGAACTCAAGTTGTTTCTGCCGTTTAATATGTTATGAAATGTTGGTTGGATCACTGATAAAGACTTAAAGCTTTTCAATGATGTGGTGTTTAAGAATGTGAGTAGTTGTGCTATTGGACTTTATTTGTATCTGCCGCTTGCCCTCTGAGTGTGAAATTCAAATAAAATATTGGGAAAAAATTACAAGATTAAAAAAATGTGTGAGGCTTTCTTTTAATTATGTTTTTTTATGCTCTTCTAATATTTTTAAATTTTGGAATGTTAGAAACAAACCAGAGCCATCATTAATCTGCTCTGCTGAGGTACAGTATTCCTCTCATGGAAGTACAGCATTTAAAAAAAACAGCAGTAAGCAGGTAGCTAAAGTATAATAACAAGCTTCAACTTAACATACAGTACAGCATGCTTAGGTACTGTACATAATATTAAAAAAACATTCAACCCAGGAGAGGGCAAGGAAAACACAACAGATATTGTATGCAGTATGTGGCCCTCCCACATCAAAAAAGTTAAAGAGTCTATTATTATGCTAAAACACCATTTACATTTGTTGTTAGATTTGTTAACTTTCTGTTTATATAATTGTCCAATTCTTTTTTCTACAATGGTGTTTTTATTTTTTGTTGTCCGCATACATAATACATACATTACTATATGTAAATGATCGTGACGAATTTATTATTTTGTAAAAATAATCAGTAATGCAATAGAGACACTTCAGTTGACCTCAATATAAGTAATATTTTATATTTACTAAATGCAAAACTGAAGGTCAAAGAATCCAGATGAACAACGATTTTTCTACTACCCCACCAACTCAGAGATCAGTGCCACACGACTCCGAAGAGACTGAAGATACACAAGGCCAGACTGTAACAATCAGAAACACAAAATTATTCTGATTATGTAGTCCTACACTTAAATAGTACTCACATCTCTTCCCCATTCCTTATTTGTTATTATTTTACTTCTTTTAACTAATAATACCACCGCTACCTTTTTTCCCCATCATCATTTAATTATGGAAACAGAAGGTACAAGATATGTCCACTATGGTAATGTACTGTATGCACTATGCCTAAGGAAGGGGGTGGTGGTGGGGTTCTATTAAAAAAAATCTTGATTGTGAGCAATGTTATCTTTTCAATATTTTTAACTTCTCCGCCTCTAGCACTGAGGAGGGCTGTATTTGTAATTATAATTACTGTTGTACTGTTTTCCCTCCATTTCTTCATTAGCTTTTTATCCCGGTCTTGATTGACACTGACCTCTATTTAACATACAGGATGTTCTGCAAACTTCTGCTGACTATGTGCATGTGTGGCACTTTTTAGATTTTGAAATGAATCATTCGGACAATGATACCAACTCGATACAATCACATTTAGAAGAAACTGGGATTACCCAGGGGGGACTCTTGTCAGAGCTCTGTTTGATCTCCGCAATCGATTTCCTGTCATCCTCTCTCTTGTTTTTATGTTTGTTCTACCTGTTCAAATTTCAAATATTGTAATATTGTTCAGATGTGTAATTCTTCAAGTTTTAATTCAATATCTTTTCTCTTCCACGACAAGGTCTACCAGGCCCTTTTCAAGACCGTTTTTAACACGGTTTTCTCCTTGACTTTCACAGAAGCAGATTCTCAAGGGTTTATGACACAGTATCTTATCAGACTTATTAAAAATCTTGTATTTTCTTACTGGCATGAATGTAAGTTACTTCTAATTTAGATTCCATTTGTGGAATGTTATAGAAAATACAAACCTTAGAAAAAAATAAAAATCCTATTTTAGGCTTTTACTTCTTGAAGATTACTTTAAGTAAAACCAAGCAAAATTCAAGTTAAAGTTGTTTGAAATGTTTTTTTGTAGATTCTACTAATTGCAAGCCTATAAATCTTTTCATATAAAAAAAATCAAGTGGCATATCTCATCATATCTGCCATAAGATTCTAAAACTTGCTACTCACTACTAAAAACATATTATAATGTTATATGATGAAATATAACAATAAATTGAAATGTATCACTGCTTGACAGGTTCTGTCCTCAAACATTTGAATGTTCCTTCAATTTGAATGTGTATTTCTTACTCTCTCTACAAGAGTCAAAGAGTCTGGAACTGTATCCCCAGGCTTTTCTACCAAACATGGCTCTTTCAACAGCAACAGCAACAGGGAGTTGAATTATACAGGATACCAGCCCTACTTGTCAATTATAAGATCAAAGAAAAGTACAGAGGAACAGCATCTAACATGTTTATTAAGCTTTAGTGAGGACGAAATTAGCAAAAAAGCCTTTACAGACCATAAATTGACAAAGGGAAAACTGGATTGTAGCAAATGTAACTTCAAAGAAATGTATTTTTCCAAACAGATGCAATACAATCAATTTCTATCCATCTCTACACTGTAGCCTCGATTACATTTTATTTATAGAATAAAAAAAGCAAAACTGAGTGCACACTAGTAATATTCAACCTTTAACTAACCTTCAACCTTTGACTAACTGTTCCTAATACATAAAGGCAGAAAGGACAAACAAAACCTTTTATATAAATACAGTATATAGTTTTAACTAAATTCAGTTAACCCTGGTGCAACACCATGGTGCAGAGTAACAGTTACTTATTTTTAAATGTTTGCCTTATTTGCTAGCCAAGTAAGCAGCAGAGTTTTCACTCCATAGCATGCTCTTGTCAGATCTCAGAA